CACACACACACACACACACACACACACACACACACACACACACACACACACACACACACACACACACACACACACACACACACACACACACACACACACACTCTCCCTTACTTGTGTATGAAGACCGTCTTCATCCCCAGGGCGCGGGCGATGGCACAGGCATGTTGCCCACCTGCCCCCCCGAAACATGCCAACACATGCTGAGAGGTGTCATGGCCTTTAGCCTGGGAGGTATGGGCGTAGGGAAAGAGAAAAGAATGAAGAGAAATCATAATTAAAATCATTTACACTACAGGTATTTGTGTTGTACCAGTATTGATTGATTTTATTTTAGGGATTATAAAGAAAAAAATATATATACAAAAGGTTGAAATGTTAAAGTGAAAACATAACAAAGCACGAGATATGCAAAATGAAAAGAAACAAAGATTACCCTGAAATTTATTTAAATTCCTCCACAATCAAAATACAAAAAATAAATGAAATCTGAAACCACTGATATGGTGACAGCCCTATTTGACACATTTACCAACAAAACAATTATCTGGAGTTAAAAACCAAAGCAGACCTGTGTCAGCGCTCTGATTGGCCGGCACATGGCCTCATTAGCAACACGGATGAATCCCATCGCAACCTCCTCCACACTCATCTCTGACCCGCTGCCGTTGGCTCCATTTGCAGTAACCTGCGAATAAAAACACAAAAAACCACATTACAGCCTCATCAGTAATACTCCCTTATAGACTTAATTAGAACGATATCAGTAGTTTTTAGTGCCTGTGATTGCTTAGAGGACAGGAAGAGGTTGATCTCCTTGCTCAGACGATGGAAATGCTTCATGGTTTCCTCTGAAGACAACGCCTCATTCTCCCCCGGCCCGAAGATCTTTGGGAAGAAGGACGGGAGGAGTCGACCGAGAGCTAAGTTAGCATCGGTCACAGTCAGAGGGCCGCCTAGGAGAACCACAGGGAAGCAAGGTTAGCTGAATGAGGTTCAAAGCGGGTATTTCAGTCTTGTATTTTAACAAATGTTATGTAAGTCTGTGAGAAATGTTATGCTCTGCCCTACAGGGGAACATTAGATTTGAAGTTGTGTTTATTTTTGTTGGCACACAGCACATTTCCAACTGAGCACTAGGAGCTCCAGCTTCAGTTATATCATCTGAAACTTGGACCTGTGCCAATGTCCAGGCTTCCTATAGCTAAACCAGATTATAAATCCACAGAAGGGGGGAGGGAGGAGGACATGAGGAGACAGAAGTAGAAGCTCTGTGTGGATTTATGTCAAACAGATGGATTTAATGGCGAAAGGTGGGAGAATAGACCTTGACATGTATAGTTTGTAAAACAGATTAAAAGGGAGGGAGCAAAACAATGAGTTACCTTTTCTGTAGCAGGCGGGTCCTGGGTGAGCTCCTGCAGACTCTGGTCCAACCACAAACATCCCTGATCTGAGAGGAAGGAGAGAAAACAGAAAGGAGAGAGGCCATGAAACCCAAAGGAGCAGAAATTGTACAAATCTGGATCCAACTGGATGCAGAGAGGAAGAAAGAGTATCGTGAATAACATGGCCTTATTTGCGTAAACAAATTGCAAAAGTACTCAAAATCTCAAAGCTTAAGTACTTTGGACAAAAGGGCCGACAGTCTTTCATGCCTGTGCCACTTTGTTTTGGTAAGAACTGAGGTAATTTTATCCTAGCACTTTATACAATCAGATTTGAAGTCGACCCCCAGGTTTAAGCACAGCGGGGTCTAATCACCAAACACCATTACATGCATCTGTGTATTCCCGGAAATACATATATATCGTTACATCAACACTGTCTCTCCTGATTGAAATGAAGCTTAGCGCAAGTTCAACCAGGAAGACCATCTTTAGTCATTCATTCACATATTCCCAGCTTACTACTCTCTCTCCTCTCAATCAGTGATCGACAGCTAGACCTATCACTTCGCCTCTATTCCCACAAGCCTATCATAGTGCATTGCAAAACCTTTAAATCTGCTCTCCCCCCTCCTCACAGTTGTCATGTTCCTGTTGTTCAGAGCTAGTGACCGACCTGAAGAAGAGGCGGGACCCTCCTCCTGCAGCTACAGTGTTGATGTCCAGCTGCGGGGCCTGCAGGGTGACCCCGGCAGTCGTTGCCTCGAACACGTGTTCATACTGACCCGCGTATCGACTTACATCAGTGGATGTTCCTGGAGAGTGCAATAAGATGGAAGAAATCAGGAAGACAAGTAGCATGGAAAGCTAACACTTAGCATCTCTCCCGTTTATTCCCATTTTCTTTCATCTGTAAATAATCTATGCACAGGATAAAAAAACATGTCAGGTCACATGTAATAACAATGTTTAAAGGCGTTTGAAACTACAAAACAACAGCAGGAAGTTCCTCACATGTGTGTTTGCCTGCAATAAATGTACACTAACAATATTCCTCCGCTTCTCTGCAGCTCCACTGTTCTTAATTATGCAGCATTGCCCCTACTCACCTCCCATGTCAAAGCCAATCACAGGTTTCTTCTCCATCTGGTTGTATGAAGTGATGGCGTATCCCACCACCCCCCCCGCGGGGCCGGAGAGGACGGCCCGCGACCCGCAGAACTGATCCATGGGAGTCAGCCCGCCGTCCGACTGCATGAACAGGACGTCCACATCCTGAGGACAGAGGGGCGGTAGAGATGGAGGAGATCATATTGTTGTTTGGATGAAGCTCAGCATATCAAAAACATGTCTAAACTTCAAAAACAGAAGCGCCACCAGCAGATTAAAATGGACGTCACTGCTGCTTGGTGTGACCTAGCAGAGTCGTATTCAAATGATTGCTAATAGGAAAAGGAAAATCTAATATCAAAACATATATGAAGCCTTAAAGGTCCCCTATCATACTGTTTCTCATCAATATATTCCAGGTCTCAGATATATACAGAACCTGTCTCTGATTGGCTGAAACAGCAAACAGGTCATTGCAGCATTACCCATAATCCCCTCTGTTTCAGCCCTGTTTCAAAAGTGTTGATTCTCTGTCTGTTACTTTAGATGAAAATAAGGAGCCCCTCCCCACGCCCCTCTGAGAGAGATTTGGTTACAAAGAACTCACAATGGTGCTCTAGGAGGAGATTCAGGTGATAAGGGGGGGGGTGACCTTGGTTGCTGATTGGCTAAAACATCGTTATGACATCATAAAGTGGCCAAAATCTGATCAGCTAAT